CCCCAGGCTCTACCCCTCAAATCTACAGGTATTTCCCAACCCAGAGTTGGCAACCCTGTAACTGGCTATGGAACCACTTTCCAGACCCTTGGAACCCAGAAGACATGGCATAGGAGGAGGTGCTTTTCTACCTTAGCTGCCACTGCATAACCCCAAATCAACATAAGTCAGGAGTGGCGGGAACCATACCTGTTACCATGAGGCTGTCCTCCCATACTACCCACTTGGGGCAGCAAAATTACTTGAGACCAATGTTCCCTCTAAGCTGTGGAGTGCTGTGAGCAAAAATTCTACTTTGTGAGCTACGGGCATTAAAGCTGTGAGCAAGCAATTAGGTTGCTGCATAAATAAGGCTGCAGTCACACGGACCTCTTACCGTGCTAGTTTTCCCTCAGTTCTTCTATCCACGACATTTTATATCGCTTGTAGGTGGTCAGACGGTCCCTCTGTCTTCCGCTTCACTCACGTGAAGTACTGATCACACAGCGCGCCGTCCCCGCGGCGGCGCGTTTTTTTGTTTTTGTTTTAAACCCAACCTGCGCATGCGCTTGTCTTCCCATGCACTTGGGCATACATACAAACTAAAAAAGACCAAAATAAAAGCTAGTGCCTGTTTGCACATGCGCATAACTTAAACCGGAAACACACACACAAAAAAGGGGTGGGTGGGAAGGTAGTGCGGTCACGGTGGATTGCTGTTCAGATACCAAAACCGCGGATACAAAGCGCGAGATATCAGAAAAACACCTGTTCCAACGGGTGTCAGAAAACGCAGATAAAAAGAGCGAAAACCGTGGGACTCAGCCCGCTTCGGTGCAGGAGGCGGGTTTGCCAATATGAACAGGAAACTTTAATGCGCGAGGGATCAGCAGCGAAGCCTGCACTAAATGTCCGTGTGACCTGACCATTAGTTTGCTCTGCTGCCATCCTTCCTGAGCTAAGGCAAAAATGTGTGAGCTGGAGGCTAAAAAACTGTGAGCTAGCTCACACGAACTCAGCTTAGAGGGAACACTGCTTGAGACAGCCCTGCCTTATAGCTAAGCAGAAGGAAATAAACATGGCTTGCCTCCTTCTATTTTCCCCTTCCCTCTGCCGCCACACCAGCCACAGCCGGGACACTCACCTGGAAAATCCTTCTAGAGCTCGTTGTATTTCTTCCCGCAATGGGCCTTCCTTCTAGTAAGAACATAAGAAAAGCCAGTGTTGGATCAGGCCAATGGCCCATCCAGTCCAACACTCTGTCATGCAGTGGCCAAAAATTCCAGGTGCCATCAGAAGGTCCAGCAGTGGGGCCAGGACACTAGAAGCCCTCCCACTGCCCCCCCCCCCAAGTACCAAGAATACAGTGCATCACTTGCCTCAGCCTGAGAGTTCCTATCTATACCTTTGTGGCTAATAGCCACTGATGGACCTCTGTTCCATATGTTTATCTAATTCCCTCTTGAAGGATGCTCTATAACATCCTTTTCTGTTGGCTTGACTGTCATTAGCAAAACATTTTACTGTTTCCTGTATGCTTCCAGCAGATGTCCAGTTATCTGGCATATATACCTGTTGTATCTTTATGTTAAAGGCATCTTTGGCCAGATACTATTTGATCATATATTTTGGAATCTGTCTCCCCAAAAACCAGTAAGATGCTCCCTGTCACTTCCATTAAGTCCCTCCTCAATACCCAGCTTTTCTGTGAAGGTGTTTGCACAGTCCCTTAGGCCAAATGCATGTGTAGCACAAAAATACTTTTCAGCCCTTCTTGTGCAGTTTGATGAATAGTTAAGTGAAGTGTGATCATACGCCATGCCTTAAGCTGTTATCCTATTTCAGCAAAAGTGCAGTTGGGCAAAAGGAACTTTACTCCTTCTAATATGTGTATTCTTATTATTATGTTGCACATACAAGTGTAATGGACTAGAAGAGCAAGCAAAAAGAAATGAAAAAAATTGAGACAGTAATTCTTGGGGGACATGGGGAGATAAGCTTTTGGAAAAGAATAGTATTTTACTTGCCTGATTTGAATAATAGTACATTTACTTTTATACCAACAATTGTCTTTTTATAGGCATTTGGAAGAGAATCAAATTAGTGTGATAGAACGTGGAGCATTTCAAGATCTAAAGCAACTTGAACGGCTGTAAGTATTCTTGGGGATAAATCAGTTTCCTTAGGTAAGAAAATGAAGCAGTCTCAAAGTGATTGTGTGGAAGGGTATGGTGATATGGCAGGGTGGCCCTGGAAAAGCCTTCGGATTTCAGTACTGACACAGCAAAATTAGGTTTTATGTTAAAAATCATTACCTCTTGGATCCATAACTGATTCTGATTCACAAGTTAAATTTTCTTTTTATCTATGGTTTTGAAACCTTGTCAGAAGCAAGGAAGCTCAGGTCTCTCTGGGAAGTCTGGAAAGCCATCATGTGACCAAGAAGTAACACATGGAAAACAAAGGAATTATTCAAGGTATAAGCTTATACCCTGAATAAAACTTTTTTGGTCATAAAGGTGCCACTGGACTTGAACTTTGGTCTTCTGCTTCAGACCAACACGGCTACCCACCTGAATCTATGATAAACAAAGATGTACAATGAGCTTGTTTTCCTGTGTGACTGCAGCAACTTTATCACCAATGAAGTCTGACATCTTTAGTATCTCTTTTTGTGGTTTTTTTCATGTGTGTGCATGTGTGTGCGTGTACCTGGAAGTCATGTTGATCTCTGGTGACTCACTTTGTACGTACCTGGAAGTCATGGTAACCTCTGGTGACTGATCCCTACTGGGGCCCTGGAGGATATTCAAAGAGGTGACTGAATGAATCCTTCCCCACCTCCCGACTGCTGGTATTCCAAGGAGGTTGGCCATCCAACTACTTGCCAGAGTCGACCCTGTTTAGCTTCCGAGATCTGACAAGATCTGGCTTGCCTGGTCTATCCAGGTCAGGACAACATATTTAGTCTTTATTAATCTCTCCCTGCTTCTTACCTGTGTCAGGAAAACAGGATGCAAAGCCCCTTTGCAAAATAAAGATCAACAGAAAATCTAGATATGATGACAAAACTAAACAATCAGGCAGGGCAGATGACTACAAGTTGCTAACTGAAAGTAAGCTCTTCAGCCTTGATCATTGTCTTGCCTTCTAGGTAACTTATCTTCTGTGTGTGTGTGTGTGTGTGTGTCTGTCTGTCTGTCTGTCTGTCATCTCTGCTTTATTCTTACATCCTTCAGCTACTCACTAACTCTCATTGCTTCCTCTCCACCTCCAGCTCCCTGGGATCTGTTGTTATTCTATTTGAACTCCATCTAATGTTCTGTCTACCTGTATTTTCTTGCAAGGGTAGTTTTTTTGTTTGTTTAACTTGTGGCTTAGAATGCAGGCATCCTTACAGTGTTATCCCTCTAACTTCTTTATCTCCTTTTTATATTGTTCTGCTGCAGTGATTTGGTTTGAACTAACATCCTATGTTTTATTTGTCATAAATCTCAAGTCATGGCTCCTGAGTTAGAATAAGAAACAAGAGTCCTGTGCCATGTTAAAGGCTAACAAAATGTATTCCATTATAAGATTCATGAGGCATCCTATCACGTTATCAAATAAATGGAAGTGTGCATCCATTCGGTTTATATTTTTATATTTATAACAGAAAGACAGCTGGGGGAAGGGGTTATGATACAAAGAAAGGCTGGTTAAAAACCAGCCTCAGAGTTTGACTACCAACTGTTGCAAAGGAAGAATCCAACATGAAATCGATGAATTAGAATTCACTGACTATAGGTGCTCATGGCTTGCATATTTCACGCATTACAATTGCTAATTAGTTCACCTGTATCTCTGTACCTTCATTTTAAAAAATCTGCTTATTTTTATTGGATCTTGTTTTAAACCAGCATCTCTTTGTAGCATGCTCCCCACCTGCATTGCTTTTCTGGTTGTTAACAGAAAGACACTGACGTAGTGGATATATACTGGAATGCATGTGGTGAACAGAAACTTTATGCTATACAATGAATGATCAACAATATTGCTCCTAGCATCTGTCTTTAATATCAGACAAATGAACTGACCGTATAGCATAAGCTATATAAACAGAGCTCTGATTATGTTTTTTATCAGATTTGTTATGCATTATGTTATGCATCTTGATATGGCGACAAAAGTCTTTTCTGGGTCAACTCATTTACGTGGCTCTTTGTGTCTCTTGGTAGATGTCCCACACACACACACTTTGTGCTGTGCCAGTCTGCCAGTTCTCACAAAGAAGTTCTTCTTCTCTAGCACTCCACTCAAACAGCCATTAGCTTCCTTGGCCAGCCATTGTTCCCTGTAAGCTGAGTTAGTGTGAGCTAGCTCACAGTTTTTTAGCCTCCGGCTCACACATTTTTGTCTTAGCTCAGGAAGGATGGCTCCAGAGCAGACTAATTTATGCCGTAGTCAAATTGCTCACTCACAACTTTAATGCCAGTAGCTCACAAAGTGGAATTTTTGCTCACAGGACTCCACAGCTTAGAGGGAGCATTGTTGGCCACCATGGAGTTCAGTCACCAAATGTTCTACCATTGCTCATGGAAAACTGAGCCAGCCAGTTGTATGCAGCCTTGGTAATGTGGACTGACTTTTGATGCTCAGTAGTCACTATTTAGCATGTTTCAGAGATGACTGACAAAAGATAATAATGGTTTAGTGTAACATCTGTCTGAGAGTACCATTTGGCCTCCTTACTTGGCTTGCTGATCACAAACCACAGTTGCCTAAGGCTGGATTTAGGGTTGCTAACCTTCAGGTGGCACCTAGAGATCTCACACTATTACTGTTGATCTCCAAATAACCAAGACCAGTTCCCTTGGAGAAAATGGCCGCTCTGGAGGATTATGCCCTACTGAGGCCCCTCCCCTCCCCAAACCCTGCCCTTCCCAGGCTCCACCCCCAAATCTTCAGTTACTTCCCAACCCAAAGCTGGCATGCCTAGCTGGATTGGTTGTGTGCATGAGCTCTCTAAGCAAAAGTTCTCAATCACTTAAAGTATCCCAAGTTGTGGAAAGTGTGACATAATCTGCCCTAAATTGCATGGCAATTCATTTGACTAATGCACTCTGCAATGAGTTGGATTCTAAACATTAGGCCAAATTTATTCATACAATTTCCTTTTTACCCTTGTTGAAAATGTTTAATTACACTTGGGTTTTGATCTCTTATATTGGGTGAAAAAAATATTATTAGCCCGTGCTAATAAAGTAGCTGTTATGACAGCTAGGTTTTCCTCTGGCCGAATAGTTATTAATAAAGCAATAAAATGTCATTGGAAATAATACCTTCTCAATTTGTGGTTATTCAAAAGGCATGAAACCTTAATGCCAAATGAATGTTGTTTTAATGGTATTTCACTTGCTGGTACATCAAAGTAGAACTTAAACTATAAACTAAAAATGTGGCCGTTATTATTTGAAATTTATTGCTTGTTATGATTCCTGCATGTAAATTCTTAATATATGAAAAGGTCTATAGATTGTGTTCGGGCCAAAAACACACTTGTTGACAGCTTTCAAGTGACTTTGCTTTGAAGATTTATGCTTCCTAAAACCTGTAACTTAGATTAAGCATTTGGATGCACATAAGTTCTTAAACCATAATGCACTGATTTAGTTTAATAGACAGCAAATAAAATGTTGCCTTGACAAGAGTTCCACCATAGGAAAACTGCTGTTCAGCCAGTTGGTGGTATTGGCTGCTCTAAAATGAGTTAACATATTTAATTGAAAGGAATATGACCCCCTAAAAAAGAGAAGACTGTACATAGAACCGGATGATTTTGAATTTAAAATGAACCACCACCACCACCTTGAAAAAGAGGTGAGCTAGCCAGCCAGAGGTATCTTCCTCCAACCAATCTCTGTCTTCTCAACCAACCTCTGTTTGCGAGCTTTGGAGGGCTCTGTTGTCACAGCAGTTATGGCCTCTGGGATTGTCTCTGCACCTCTCTACCTGCCCAATCATTCCAGAGCCAGAAAATATGAAGAAAGAGAGTGCACCCCGTCCTCACAGCTCAGTTTCACAAGCTGTTTTCAGCCTCTTCCATAGCTAATGGAGAGGATGACCTTTCTTCCCCTCCATACTTTCTTGCCAAGCAAAAGTGTGCCCCACAACTCAGTCACATGGGTGGCTTCCAGGCTCCTCCTCAGCTGATGGTGAGGCTGGCCTTTCCTCTCATACATTTTTTCTGGTTAAGCAAAAGTCCAATAGGCAGTAAAATTCTTCAATGCATATTCTATTTATTTATATCCAGCTTTTGTCCCCCCCCCCCCCGGGACCCAAAGCAGCTTACAATGTCATTCTCCATTTCTCCATTTTATCCTGAGAATAACTGTGTGGTTTGTTAGGTGAAGATACTGTGAGTGGCCCAAGGTCATCCAGAGAGTTTCCATGGCAGAGCGGAGATCTGAATTGGGGTCTCCCAGATCCCAGTCTGGCACTTTACACATTTTATATCCCACTCCTGTCCCTGTCAGGCAGGGCTCAGGGCTGGCATAAATTGAGTCCATGATGTGTGGGGCTGTATTGGTTATTGCTTATGGAAGACTGGTGCATGATTGAAGTGTGTGTGATTGAAAAAACCCCTCCTCAAGCAATTAGTTAGTTCCCATATGTCCTGCAGTCCCCCAAATCAATTTCTCTGGGATTGGAAGGGCCTACTGAGTGGAGGGAACAAGGAGAAGATGTGTGATCCTTGTCCCCCCTGGATCAGCAGATCCAAGCTACAAAGAGCAGCAAAGTGAAGTGAGTAGTGGGAGAGCTTAGCTCATCTCATCTACACTCTGTTTTCTGTATAAATAAATAAATTTTTAAAAATCCCCCCCCCCCCCTTTTTCAAACCCCCCCCCCCCTGTTTTCTGTGCAAAGACCTTATGTGTAGTTTGGCCTTGAGGTGATGCTCAGCTGGAAAGTTCCCAGCGGACCATAGGAACTGAGAATGAATAGTGAGATGTTCTCACTTCCCAAGCTGCACCTTAATTCTGTGCATTGAGGAAGATATTGTCAGACATCTGATTTGTGTACTTCAGGTCAATACTGTTGGTTGTCTTGAACAGTTTATAGATTTTTTAAAAAAAGTTTTATTAGCAGTGAGGAAGTATCTACTGCTGGGTA